TTTGGTGTGTGTGTGTGTGTGTGTGTGTATATATATATATATATATATAATGAAAGGTGTTGAGCAAACTTATGAGTGAGAGAAGTTAGTTAAAAAAGTAACATTTTGGTTTCTTAGATTTAAACATACTTCTGCACTGCCATGAACTCCTGCACAACAGAAGTTTGTTAATGCACGAGTAGGGCCCTGCCAAATTCATGGTCAATTTTGGACAATTTCATGGTCATAGGATTTTAAAAATTGTAAATGTCTTGATTTCAGCTATTTAAATCTGAAATTTCGTGGTGTTGTAATTCATAGAACTGGAAGGGACCCCGAGAGGTTGTCTAGTCCAGTCCCTTGCACTCAAGGCAGGACTAAGTATTATCTAGACCATCCCTGACAGGTGTTTATCCAACCTGCTCTTAAAAATCTCGAATGATGGAGATTCCACAACCTCCCTAGGCAATTTATTCCAGTGCTTAACAGCTCTGACAACTAGGAAGTTTTTCCTAATGTCCAACCTAAACCATCCTGGCTGCAATTTAAGCCCATTGCTTCTTGTCCTATTCTCAGAGGTTAAGAAGAACAATTTTTCTCCCTCCTCCTTGTAACAACCTTTTATGTACTTGAAAACTGTTATGTCCCCTCTCAGTCTTCTCTTTTCCAGACTAAACAAACCCAGTTTTTTCAATCTTCCCTCATAGGTCATGGTTTCTAGACCTTTAATCATTTTTGTTGTTCTTCTCTGGAATTTCTCCAATTTGTCCACATCTTTCCTGAAATGTGGTGCCAGAACTGGACACAATACAATTGTAGCGGTCTTGACCCAAAAAGGACTTGTGAGGGGATCACAAGGATATTGTGGGGGGGTTGCAGTACTGCTACCCTTACTTCTGTGCTGTTGCCTGCAGAGCTGGGCCCTCAGTCAGCAGCCGCCACTCTCTGGCTGCCCAGCTCTGAAGGCAGCAGCACAGAAGTAAGGGTGGCATGGTATGGTATTGCCACCCTTACTTCTGTACTGCTGCTGGGGGGGCTCCGCCTTCAGAGTTTGGTGCCTGGCCAACAGCCACTGCTCTCCAGCCACCCAGTTCCGAAGGCAGTGCAGAAGTAAGGGTGAAAATATTGTGACCCCCACCCTAAAATAACCTTGTTTGGGTCAACAGGGTTGCATAATTTTTGGTGGTGCCCAGAACAGGTTCAAGTCCTGCCTCACCCCACCTGCCTAAGGCTCTGGGAGGGAGTTTGGGTGTGGGAGGGGAGAGGGGTTGGGCTCTGGGAGGGAGTTTGGGTGCAGGGGGTTGGGGTGCAGGAGGGAATGTGGAGGTCAGGCTCTGGGAGGGAGTTTGGGTACAGGGTCTGGGCTGGGGCAGAGGGTTGTGGTGCGGGAGAGGGTGAAGCATGTAGCGCTTACCTCAGGCGGCTTCCGAAAGCGACCCGCACCCCCCTCTGGCAGCAGCTCCTAGGCAGGGGGCTGGAGGGGTCTCCATGTTCCACTGCCCGCAGGGACCACCCCTGCAGCTCCCATTGGCCTCAGCTTGGGATAGCCTGTGGGTCCCGTCCATCTGTCCCCGTCCCCCCCGGGGCCGCAGGGATGTGCTGGCCTTCCGGAAGAGGACTGGGCGGGCAGGAAGCCGCCTTAGCCCTGTTGTGCTGCCAGTGGTGGCGGCGGGGGCCCTGAGCCCTTTTAAATTGCCTGGGGGCAGCAGGGGGGATGCTCCGGGGGAGGAGCTTGGGGGTGGCAGGTGGGGCTGGGGGAGAGACTAGGCTCCGAACTGGAGCCGGGCCACCATATTCTTATATTGGTGGAGTACGGGCACCACACACCCCTGAACCTTGTGACCCCTCTGCAACTCCCTTTTGGGTCAGGACCCCCAATTTGAGAAATGCTGGTCTCCCTTGTGAAATCTGTATAGTATAGGGTAAAAGCACACAAAAGACCAGTTTTCATGGTCCATGACATGTTTTTCATGGCTGCGAATTTGGCAGGGCCGTATGCATGAGAGCTAGAAAAGGAAACGCTAGAAAGAAAAGTGAAATAGATTAGTTTGTCAAGCTGAGTGAAATATTTAAGTAAACACACAGAGCTGAAACGAGTAAAATAAAAAATTTAGCTTCTTTAATCCACAGTACTGTTAGTAGTACAGGTGAGTATTTTTTTTATTTTTTAAACTTGATGTTCCTTTTAACTAGCACAAATATTTACTTAATTAGTCTTTACATATCAGTCTGTTTCTTTGGTACTGTCAAGTGTGTAATAGAATTTCTGTAGAAGTGTTACAGTTGAAACGAACGGAGAGAACTTCTTTTCCTCTCTCAATACCCTTGATAGCCTACTTGCGTTTACTATTATGGAGGGTGTTAGTATGCACTCTTCATTTAATAACTACTAATGCAATATGAAACAACAGTAATAGAGGCTTTTGGAGGTGTAAAATGTTCTCTAAAAATGAAAAAAAGATCTGAGTGCCTTGACTAACTTGGTAGACAGAAAAGGAGAATGTGTACTGTGGAGAATCTGTGGATCAAAAATAGGTCACAGAATTGTTATGTATTCATGAACTCCATTCACATTTGTGATTTAAGAAATAATTGTACTCAATACTTATTTCGAGAGCTTTTAATTTTAAAATGAAGTTTTACTAACAGTGTGGAAATGCAAATATTTGTCATTAGAGAGACAAGGTGAGTAAGGTAATATCTTTTATTAGACTAACTTCTATTGGTCAGAGACACAAGCTTTTGAGCTATGCAGAGCTCTTCAGGTCACAGCACTGCAAACAGTTTTTTTTCACTATCAACTTTAGTAAGCGTAACAGAAGCCAGTTGTTATAAATGTGGCCCTCAAACTGTAGTGACTATCCCTCTGATGTCCCTATATAGTAGGATGTGGCAGTATGCGATTTGTTTTCAAAACAAAAGTGTCCTGTTTATAAATGACATTATAATGCAAACATTTTAAATATTGGAATTTGAAGAAAAGGTTCTGTTTAAAAGAAAAAAAAATCAAACCAGTCTTCTGTGACTGATTCAGAATAAGTGTATACTGGTAATTTCTGTGTTCTATAAATACATCAGATGCTGTATGCGACCTCCCCAAGCCTATGCTCTAGAGTTACTTTAACAATATAATTGTATGTTTTTTTTTTTAAACAGATGAATGATGTAGATAATCTCTGTGTGTCACGGACATTTATTGACATGCTTTTACCATATTTATTTGCGTAGCATACAGGAAAATCTCTAATAGCATAAGGGTTAATGTGTTGGTGCTTTCAGTATAAATAGAACTTGCACATGAATACAGTTTTGTGTGTTTTAAACAACTTCAGATGACAACATCATGCGGAGGAGGTTTCTGTGATTGTGGTGATACTGAAGCTTGGAAAGAAGGTCCGTACTGTCAAAAGCATGAACTTAACACAGCAGAGACAGCAGAAGAGGAGGTAATAAATAAAATTTTAATATATAGATACTGTATAATAGTGCTAGTTTAGGACAGTATATGCTGCCAGACCAAATTATGCACAATTCTGAAATTCAGAAGGTAAGGGAAAATAAATCTCTAATCATCTTATATGTGACTTCTGGAAGGTTATAAATTCATCTCAAAAATAAGAAAACCAAATGCTATAGAAATAATAAAATCTGTATACTTCAATGTTTTAGTGAAATGGTGGACTCTTAAATTTTTAATAAATATTGGAACATTTGTAGTGTCCTAGTATTTATGTTAAAGCTTTAAGCCCATGAGTGAACCAAATTGAAAGTCAGAATTTTTGCGCTAGAAATTATTTGGTTGGTTGAAAATGTTGTCTTGATATGCTGTTTACTTTAGATAAAAAATTACAAATATCCATGTGCTGAGATGATATAGTAATTAAAAGAAGAAATTATTTAGGATGAAAGCTGTTAGTCTTCTCTACTCAGCCAATAAGTAAAACAAATTGGAAGCTTGCTGCATGCTAAATATAAATATTGGTACTACACCATATTATACACTAGATAAAATTAATATAAAATTACATATTAAAACTACTTTAAAAACCAGCTATTTAGATTGCAAAGTTAAGCATGCAAAAATAGAAAAAGCTAGATTTCTGGTTGCCCAGGTAGCCATAGTTCTGTCCTTGTGCATCCATCCTATGCACTGAATGAAGAAAGTGTGCTGTGAGGGGGCGGGGGGCGGGGGGGGGGGGGGGGGGATGTAATTAAAGACTACATCATAATGGATGCATATAAGGGAGCAAATTAAGTTTGCACATGCAACCTGTATTCTGACATTTCCTAACATTCATGTGCTAGACTTTACAACCTAAATAACTTTCTTTTAAAGTAGTTTTTTTAACGTAACTTCTAAGGGGTTTTTAACAGGAAAAAGTTTAAAAAAATAAATTCTGTTACAACTGTAACAAACCCCTCATCATAGATCATCAGCGGGGTTTGAATCCTGAATCTTCAGCACTGCAACAGATTTCTACCACTTGAGACACAGGACTAACCATGTTAGCTAGTAGCATAAGAAGGATGTTATCCCAGAAAGGTGGATGGACAGCTAGTGTCATGTGCTGGGTCCAAGGAGGTTTATGTGGGGAATCTGGCCTGGTTCTCCATTTCTTCTTCACTGGGTCTGAGAGAACTCCTTCCCTTTTTTTGGTGCCCCCACAGAGGAGCTGCGACGTGCTAAAGGGGGTGGTGGAGGAGCCCAATCTGGCTATGTCTGGTGTGCGTGCGCTCTCTCTTCCTTCCCCCCCACTGCTACAACTGCTCCAACAACTGCTAGATGTTTCCAGGTAGTGTGCAGTGGTGATGGTGGTATGGTGCTGCTGTGGTGAATGTGTGGACCTGACTCTTCAGAATGTTTTGTTAGTTAATTCTGCATGCTGCCAAAATTTCCCATGGAACACCAGTAACAGAAGGGAAATGATGACTTTCAACAGTTTTTATAGCTCTGTCAGATCTGAAGAGAACTTAATGGGAGAAGGGAAGAAAAGTCCTTAATCTGAGGGCCATGTCTCTGCTGAATTTCAAAGGCCTGCTGCAAAAAATGGAGATGTTTAGAACCTCTCTTTAAAAAAAACAAAAATACAAACAAACAAAAAAACAAAAAACACAAGAATATTTTGTAACTGAAAGTGTTGGGCATCTCATTACTGTTATTTATATTTGTCTGTCTAACTGCTCTAGGTGCCTCTGACATATACTTAAAAATATATCAAATCAAAGAAAGAAACAGCAATCCCATATATTTAAAAAGCTAGGGAACAAGGCAGCCCAAATAAACCAGATCCCCATAATACTTAATATTCCCCAAAACTATATGCTTCTTCAGCAGCTCTTTTAAGAAGATGTGCTGCAGCATTTATTATTTTTCATTTGTATTACCACATCATGTAGGAGTCCTAATCATGGATCAGGACCCTATTGTGCTTGGTGTTGTATACAGAACAAAAAGACAGTCCCTGCATTAAGAAGCTTACAATCTAAGTAGAAGACAAGATATAACAGATGGATACAAGCAGCGAGGTGGGGGTGAGGACAAGGAAACAGTGAGACAGCATTGGTCAGCAGTGTAGACAGCGGTATCCGTGTAGCAGCAGCCACACAACTATTGTCAATTTTTTTCTATAGACATTATGGCAAAGGAAAGCTTTAAGCAGGGATTTGAAAAAAGGCTAGTGCGGTGGCTTTACGCATGTTTACAGGGAGCTCCTAGCAAGTGTGAGGGGGAGCACAAAGGTTCTTGGTTTGAAAACTTAACACATGGGTAATGCAGGCTGGCATCATGGACTGATCAGAGGCAGGATAGGAAATGAGAGATGCTAGGTAGGGTGGGGATAGGCTCAAAGGGCCTGGAAAGTGATGACAAGCAGTTTGTTTCGGCTTAGTAGGATTAGATTTTTATCGGTAAATGTTGGTAAATGTTGATTTCACCATATATACACACACAAACTTGACAAAAAAATATCTCTAGCTGTGATGATCAAAATTTACAAATGGGCAGTGTAAGCTTGAGAACTTATGAGAGTTTGATATTTATTTTGTATATTCTGCCATGTGATGTTGACAATTTGTGTTTTAACAGTTATTCAATATTAACTATTTGAATCTTAACAGCTACATTCCGGTCCCCTAGTTTTTTGGTGGGTGTGAACTTTTAAATAGAAAAAATGCTTAAAACTCCTAATTTCATGTAACTGAAAATTTTAATTTATAAAAATCAGGAAAAGAAGCTTAGAAATAAACATAGATATTATCTGTCAAAATTACAACAAAAAAAATTGAATTCTGCCGTGCCTACTTATATTTGCTGCTATAAACAAGGGGAAGCCAGGGGAGAGATGCAAAGAGCAGATGAGAAGCCATCAGTGATAATGGACTGAAAGTTCCAGAAAGGTTGCCAGGTGACAATGATGAACAATGGTGAAAGAGAACAGGTGATGGTCTGAGGGGGGGAACTTGGCAGCAGAGATTAAAAAGAGAGCAATACTGGGTGAAGACCAAGTCAAGTGAACCACCCTTATGGTGAGTGGGAGAGCGTATCCAGGGCAACAGGTTTAATGAAGAGGAGAGGGTGAGGAAACATGCAGCTTAAGGGGCAGATGGGTTATTATGGAAGTTGATGTCACCAAATATGAGTGTACACGGGAGATTGCGAGGAGAGGAAAAGAGGGAGCTCGGAGTCAAAATCACAGAGCAGAGCTCATGGGGTGAGTTGGGTGGACAGTAATGTGAAGGGAGAGAGGAGAGAAGAGTTGAATGCAGCAGTGTTCAAAAGAGGTGGAGGAGTGGGAAGGGGAGGTGGGAGGGATTGGAAGTGACAAACAGGAGATCAGAAGACTAGCACCCTCATCATGGTGTGATCCAGAGTGGGGAGTGTAAGAGAAGGAGAGGCCTCTGTAAGAGAAGGCAGCTGTAGGGGTAGTGTCAGAGGAAGGGATCCAGGTCACTGAGAGAGGCAGGAGCTGGAGGGAATAATATATGAAGAGGCTGTGGATTGCTGTGATCGTTTTAGAGATGGACAGGTAGAGAAGAGGAGTGAGGTTAGGAGTGGTGGCACAAGATGGGTGGAGATGGTTGTGTGGACAGGTGAGGGGAGATAGTGCCAGAGTTGACATCAGAGGTGATGAGGACATTCAGATGTGGGACCTAGATTTCTGCTGCTGGTAGAGGGAATTAGATGGGGGTGGAGAAGGGCTGAGATGTAGGTAGAGGTGGTGGAACTGTAGAGGGAGTGAGCGTAACCAGGAAGAGAAGTTGGTGGTAGTGGGAGGAAAGGGAGGAGGAGGAGAATGATGATGCCAAAGAGATGTGGTGACAGCTGCGGATGAGTGGCAGATGGCCTGAAGTTTAATAGATACTGGGGTATTTTGGACCCGGGGGGGAGAGCAAGGAGTGCATTCCAAAGGAGAAAAGCCCTTGCAGAGACAGGTTCCCTTCCCCCAATATCTGTTATACCTCTTTTCTATACAAATAATTATATTTTATAGTTATAGTTAAGTATTTATTTTAATGTTTCTAATTTGATCACTTATAGTACTGTGAAACACACATTGTGAGACTGTGTTATGGAAAAAGAAATGTGTTTCTCAGTTGATTCTGGACATTTATCAGCCATCTGACTGCCAAGGTTCCCCAGTGTTCTTAAGCACCTCTTTTATTTGTTAAATGTCTCTCAAAATATTGGGGGAAACTGATTGTCTGTCTGATTATAATCCCAAGTTGGTGGTTGTTTTTGTGTGTGTGTTTTTTTTTTGTTTGTGTCCCCCCCACGCCCGATGGATCATTTGTGTTTATAGCAGAGGTATTCCTTTAAGATGGTTTAAATACAAAGAACATTGGAAAAGTCACGATTAGACTAAAGATGGAGGCAGGGAAGAAAATTATGCAGACTACACATCCCAGTTAGAATAATAATATAGTATTTAGTATTGCTAACTTTTTTTCACTATACCACTCATGAAAAGTTTTCTGCTGTAAGAGCTATTACCTCTTACTCTCTTGGAATGCACTTTTTTATGACAAATGAATTTCTTAAAACTTAAAACAGCAATAATATGATGCCCATCAGCCCTGCATGAAACTAATAAATTAGTCATCTGGAGCTTTATGAAGTTAAATTAGTTCATGGAAAAATTGGCTCTGTTTATCTTGAGGCTATTTTAATTCTCCTAATGGGAAGAAGAGGTTGTGGGTGTTTTTTTTCTTGTTTTTTTTTTTTATGAAAGGTGAAAGCACATTAGCCAGGAAAATAAGAGAAGAATGGTTATTGGAAAGTCACTATATCTGTATTACGCCTCAATTTTAATAGATTATTTTCAGGAGCCAAAAAGAATAGAACATCTGACTGAAATATCATGCATTATTTGTTTACTTAAATACACATTTTAAACTTAAGTCCAGGCTGTGGAGATTTTTTTAAGTAGTTCCTAATTTTTGTTTCTATGTCTACTATGTGCGTGTTTGAGTTTTTTTAAAAGGCAGCCTTTTGAAGAACAAACACCATGGAAGTCTATTATAGACTGGTTCCATGTTAGAGGGAAGACTAAACAGTGTAGAGTTAGTGCATGGTGTTGTTTTACCATTTAAAAAAACAGGCTTAAAAAAACGGCTAGTTTTTTTTTTATTATAAAATAATTTTAAAAAGTAGTAAAATAGCACCAGGTACTTCCAAAGGTTTTCTATCTGATGCCTATGCCTCTCAATAGGCTACCTTTGCTCCAGTGAAGTTCTCTGGTACATCATGTTGCATTCTGATGCATATGGTTGTGGAGTATGAGTAGATAGCAGTTACTCCAGGGAATCTGAAATCATGAGTGGGCAAACACAACTTGTAATCTTTGCTGTGCTCAACATCCTTCTTATCTTTCCTATTTTCAGATTGATGACATAACCTTAAAGATAATAATAATAAAATATGAGTCACCTTTAAAATATGTCATTTTACTTCAATATCATTTCCTTCTCATGTGGACCATGTGCTCCTTTTAAGGAACAACCTCAATTTTCAGCATTGATGACATCACCAAACTAGTGTGCACTGCTTTCTAAAGTCAAGTTGTACTGCTTCTCACTCTTTTATCTTACAATATTATTATTATTGTAATGACAGATTTGCTAAGGTTAATAGTTACTTGTTCTTCATAAGTTAATGCTACTTATCAGGAGGAGGTAAAAACTCTCTTATAAAAGCTTGCTTTGGAATAAAACTTATCAAGAAGGAGGGGAGAGAGGGAATTGGTTTGGTAGCCTGAAGTAAGTTTGATTTTTTTTGCAAACATTATTTCTAGTTTAAGATTCCAAGTTTGCAGTCATATATAGCTCTAAAAGGATTTCAGTTAAATAAATAAGCTGAAATGTGATTGTTCCACCATAGTTTCTAATCACTTGTGTTTTGTCCAAAAATAAAACTATTATCTGCTAATTTTAGTTGCCAGTCTGGCTTGTGCTGTAGTTTGAGCAATGACATTATACTGCGGGGGGCTCAGTGAACCGACTTCATATTCTTTTGGGTTTTATTCTGTTTTCTTGTTAAGTTACAAAGATGCAATAACAGTTTAATATAAATCAGGGATATTAAGAATGAAACTGTTCTGGGTGCAAGCAGTCATTCTCCATTTCCTTTTCCAACCCTCCTTCCCCTCATTATCATTTAATTCCTTAATGTAGATGACACCTACAAATTTGGACCATTTCTATTTTTCACATGCATATGGGGTGAATTCAGTACATATTTCCCACCAGACTATAATCACGTCAGTGAGCCATTACGATCAAACTGGCATTCTTCAGTTTTTTGTGGAATTCATGCATGCTTTACAGACTTTTTTTCTGCACTGAATTTCTACTTTTGAAAATAAATTAGTAAGGTATGCAAAACTAGTGAATGGCTATAATTTTAAATTCCATGATGGCATTAAATGGGATAGTATACATTTAGTATTTACGTGTTTTGCATTTTGGTGTAAACTTTTAGTTTAGATGTGGTCATTGAGTACCACCATATCTTAGAAATATTTAACAAGAAATTATCATATGGTTACACAGAAACAGGCAAGAGGGAGAAGAGTGAAATATAGTATTTTGGAACCTGGAATCTTGTTAATAATTTGTAACGTACTATAACTAGTGTGAATACAAAATTTAACAAAAGGAAATGTGGCTTTGATAATTGTTGATACTATAACTTACTAAGTTAAATGAAATATGAACAATGAAATGTCCAATACAAGCAGGATAATGGGAATGAGGGTTTGAGCCCAAACCCAAATGGTTCTTGTTGTTGCTCATTTTCTTTGTTTAATTTTCCTATAATGTTTTTCTACTATCTAACTATAATCAATTTCACTTTTCAGGATCCTCTGGTGCATTTATCGGAAGATATGATAGCAAGAGCTTATAACATTTTTGCTATCATGTTTCAATATGCAGTAAATATATTAACATGGGAAAAAGAAAATGAATTGCCACCTGGTTTAGAGACCGTGTAAGTATATTCTTTGTGTTTGAGGTTTTCAAGACGTGCAGGTGTTTAAAGTATAAAACTTAAATGCTCACGTTAGTCTACATCCGTGACACTCACACTGCGGCTCACGAGCTGCAAGTGGCTCTTTAATGTGTCTTCTGAGCCTCTTTGCAGCACATCGTATTAAAACACTGATTTAATTATTAACGAGTCAGGATGCTTTTACTATGTCATTAACAAATTAAGTTATTAGTTTATTTGCTTTAAGAATTATATACATACAAACACACTAAATATTTTCCTTGTCATACTGTTTAAATATGAATAGTACTATAGTAAATGAAACAATGAAGTCGCACTACTGTGGCTCTTTTGGGTAAGCTGATCACTAATTTGGCTCCTGAACCATTGAGGTCTGTGTATCACTGGTCTACATGCTGTCTTCCTTTAACTCCAATAGGGCGATGATGTAGACAAGTGTCTTTCAAAACATTTTACAGTGGGGATCATACAGTGGAGCATCTCTCTTCTCTTTCATGATTGCATAGACCATCTCCAGCATTGGCTGGTGCTCAGCTAATAGCCTTGTAGCAGCTACAATTGTTTATGAGGAAAAATAGTATTTAATTCCATGTAGCAACTTAAAACAAGTAGGGGGGGTTGGTGCCACTTGACCAACCAGTTCCATTCAAACCCCCTCTGTTGGTCCATGAATTACAACTTGGGAATTATCACTCTAGATTGAAGTCAATAGAACTAGGAATAAAACATCTTTATTTAAAATTTGATTCTACTACAGTAGTTTCTTTTAGTTCTGCTTTGCGTGGGAAAATACTGTAAATGGTGGAAGTTAAAAAATTATATTTAACACTGATTTAAATTTTTTTGTCAAAAATATGGAGAACTGGTCTAATGGCTTTATTGGTTTAGTATCTTATGTTATGAAGTGGTAAACATAGATTTGCAAAAGACTTCTGAATTCTAGTTGCTTGGTGGAGAGAGACTATTATGGAGACCTAGAAAAGATAGGGGTAGGAAAAGAGTGCCAAAGCTATGGGAGAATAGTGTGTAACAGGTATGTTAGATAATTTTTCCTTACTAGAAAACTGCTAACCCAGAATAAAAAAAGTGCACAGAAGTAAAGTCAAGAATTGTCAGACTGACTTAATACTCTGCATCTTTACTCACTAGGCACTTAATCCTTCAAGGTGCTGAGCACTCCTATAAGGTGCAGAATGCCTTTAACTTCCACTGAAGTCAGTGGGAGTTGAAGGCACTCAGCAGCTTCAGGATAAAGCCTTGTTGATGTACATCATTAGTGCCAGGGTTAACCCAAGGTTAGAGAGATTCAGATTGTTGGAAATTATTAAAATTAAAAATAGATTAGACGCGAAGCACTTAATTATTTAACTTTGATCTTTATTTTATAGCGAGAAGAGTGACACTTACTACTGCATGCTTTTTAATGATGAAGTCCACACGTATGAACAAGTTATATACACTCTCCAGAAAGCTGTCAACTGTACCCAGAAAGAGGCCATTGGTTTTGCAACAACAGTAGACAGAGATGTAAGTAACTTCCTTGCTGGAACTTCAATTAAAAGTAAGGTCAGGGTGAATATATATGACTAAACTTAGTGCTTTTTTCCCTTTAAAGTGGTTGTGAGTCTTCCCAGTATTCTTTCTCTCCTCTCGCCTGTTGGCAGATAAAAGGCTTTCAGGAGGGAATAGAGAAGAGCTGGCAGTTTCACAGCAGCTGGAGAGAGCAGGGAATTTAGCGCCTAGTTGACTTTACCATAAGGGGCCCACTGATCAACTCAAGACCACCCTCCTTGCTCTGCACATCCCACAGCTGATTGTATGTGTTTGAGGATGGAATTCTTTTCTTCCAGGATACATTTGTGCCTCCTAGGAAAGGTATATTCTCATTTCTACATCAAGCCATTGGCCATTTCCTTCAGGGCAGGCACTTCCTCTAGGTCCTTCTTTCAGGCTATTCTTTGGTGATGGGAAATGAGTGGGTCAGTTTGGGGCCTCAAAACATCTAAAGTTAAATGTGACTTTTCAGTTATTTTCCCTGTCCCAGATAATATTTTTGTAATATCATTGGTTAGGCATCATATAACTTAAAAGGGACACTCCCCTGGTTAGGCTTAAAAAGTGCCAGACTTCTCCTATATTGTACATCCATACTTCAAGGATGATTGATTTTTATTTTTTTATTTTTATTTTTAAACTGAACCTTGCTGCATGGTAAGAGATTGACACCTGAATTGATGTTTTGAAAGCAAACCAGTTCATATGTACTATAAAACAACTTGTGAGCCACTTTGTTTATAATACAACATGAATAAATCACTGTGCACATTTTTAATAGGCATATTTAACACTAAAGAAAGAATCACCGATTATAAGCTCCCCTAAATATTCAGGTAAAGCCAGCACTGCTATCATACTAGTCAGGTGAACCTATAGGCCTAACAAGCTTTACAATATCTTTTTAAAGGTATTAAAATATATCTTATGATATAAAATGTCCTATTTTTAAATTAGCTGGAAAAGAAGCACCTTCATACTAATACTATAAAATATGCTTGACATACATTAATAGGAATTAGTGTTGTTAAATTTTTGAATAAGAAGGTCACTGTCAGATACTTAGGAGCATATTAAGCTTTCTCTAGAAAGCAACTGCAAATGTGATTAACATAGATGGTGACTTATTGCCTGTGATTTACTGTTCTCATTACATTAGGACATAGAGTTTAAGCTTATCCTTGTGTTTCAACAAGCTACTTATTATCATCTTGTTTTTATGAATTTAAAGGGACGTAGATCAGTCCGATATGGAGACTTCCAGTATTGTGATCAAGCAAAATCAGTAATAGTGGTGAGTGATCTTACATGCTTAATCCATTCTTCTTAAATTCCCATAAAATGCTTAGTACAGTACTATTTTGATATTTTATGTGCAAAATATTAATTTTAACTAATAACTCTGTGGTGGAGGTTGAGGGTGGCAATACAATGCCGGTCTATACTTTCTCGCCTCTTTCTGTGGCCTAATCCTCATACCAGTGCACTTCCAGAAACAAGAATCTCAGGTCCAGGGTAGTTTTGACAAATCATATTTCCACCTCTGTAATTCTCAATACTTAATCAGCCTGTGGAGTAATGTTTTTATTTCACTCTTAAAGAGCGGAAAATATCTCATGGAAATTCTCATATTTACAAACTTTTCTCCTTTTCTTGATGGCTTTTTTTCCTTCAGTTTCTTGTTTTTAGGTACACTTGCATGAAAGGAGAATTTTTGTTACTTAGTTCATCTAATCTTAATTATTTCTTGCTTGAAATACTAATACTCTGTGATCACATTCAACTAGCTGTTGTCAGAGGGGATGACTTTAGGTTGGGAATATGCCTCAGAAGAATATATTCATAAGCAGCAAAGAACCCTGGGTTTTTTTAATGCAAGTGTCATGAATAATAAAGGTTTATGTCTTATACATTTGTGCTTGTCCTTTTTTAAGCTTTAGAATCAGAAAATGCATATTTACCCATGAGGCATCAGTGATTCTCTTAGTGTATACATTGTAGCTTGTGCCTTATTTAACATCTAGAAATTTTTAAATTTTAGACTAAACTGAATATAAGTTTGCAAATTCTACTTTAGAGTAACGTTAACAAATATTGCTGTCTAAAGAAAAGAGAGAAAATATTTCCAATCGCTAAGATTAAGTGTGTTACACAAATGTCTTTTTGTAGTTGATTTAAGGAACTGGGAAAATAATTTTCATGCTTCCAGATTGGAGCAGAGTTCTTACTGTGGAAATATTTACATCACTTTTTAAAGCAGTGCATTCCGGTAAAGTCGTGGGGAATTCTCATTAAAATACATGGTATATGTCACAGTAGTTTTGAGACTACACATCAGATCATACAAGTAAAAGTAATGTATAAAGTGCTTAAGCTATCCTAGAATCTTACATTTTATCAGTTAACACCAATAAAGTCAAAGAACTGAATTTGTTGTGTGTGTTACTATGGTAAAAAATTAACTTTATCAGTAAAAGCATAAGTCACTGAAATAGTTAACTGTTAAAACTTGTAAAACTGAAAATGTACTTAAGCTATAAAGATAAAAGTTGAATAATGTAAGGAAAACGAGCGAATTTATTCATAGGGAAATCTGTTTACCATCAGAGCTTTTCAAGTGAATTACCTGTGTGAAACAGTCTAATACTATACATACAATAAATTATTTTGGTTTTCATTCAGTTTTACTAACTGAAGTGACTGTCTTCAAGTATTGAAGTATTTTGGAAAAAACATAATTTCATATCTCTGTGAACAGGCTTGCATGCTGCATGCTTGTTTAGGTTCCAGAAACGTATATAATTACTTTTCAAAATTTGGCATTGTATTTAGTTGAAGGGACACCATCAACTTGAAAATTGCATTTCCAAATCAGTTATCTTTACCTATTGTTGTTACAAGTAATCCCAAAGGTTAGTAGCACAGTAAGAGATCAAAAGGGAAATATATTTCTTTAATTTCAGTGTATTTACTTTGTGGATGATTAGTTTCACTATTTTCTTGGTAATCAGCTGCTGTGTCACTCTTACGCATTTGCTCTGGAGGGAGTTCACTTTGATACTTTCTGCCTGAGGTTTTTCAAGAGGGTGCTTATCAGTAAGAGGCAGGTATTAGATGTGTGCCGAGGAGGAGAGGAAAGGTGGTGGGGAGGGGCAGCTAAGCATGTTGGGTGTTAGTTTTTGACCTGGCCAAAAGACCCTTCAAAACATTTTTTTATTGAAAATTTTTATAACAAACTGTTATACTGTTTCAGTGCTCAGTCAGAAAATTATAAAGTGCACTCCTGTTTATCTGAATGGCCTGGGGGATATTCAAAATGTCTGGTTAACTGGGGTTCTGCTAATCGGAAGTGCTATTAACTAATATAGGCCTAATTTGGGTGGGGAAAGGGAGAACACACTATGGATATCAAAGGGAATTCAGAAAACTGGAATTATACTGGATTTTTTTTTGTTTTCAGCTAAAAAATTTAAGAATAAAATTGAGTTTTCCTTGTTAATGTACTATTGGAAATAATCCTGTGCTGGATGTGGAAGAACTATGATGGATTGCCTATTAATAATAGGTCTCCATTTTAATTTCTATGATCAAATTTAATTTAGTGTATAGAATGCTATGTGTTTCTGTACAACAAAACTTATCTTTCCTGATATACACTTTTAACTAAGTTTCCCCCTTCTCTTTTCTTTTTTAAGAGAAATACCAGTCGCCAGACAAAGCCACTGAAGGTTCAGGTTATGCATTCATCTATTGTTGCCCATCAGAGCTTTGGTTTGAAGTTCCTGACTTGGCTTGGCAACATTATTGGATATTCAGGTAGGCAAATTCAAACACTTTTTCTATAGACTAGAGGATAATTTAGAGGCTAACTTAATGCTAAAAAAATCATACTTTTTTTTTATATTAAAATAGCTTACCTCAAATACATAACATGTTAGACTAACCACTAATAACTTTTGACACACTTCATCCTATTGTCCACGCGTGGATTCGTGCTCCCTGACTCCCATATGAAAGCGCTTTATGTATTCACCATACTAAAATTGGGGGAATTGAGCATAAACAGTTTGAGAATTGCTGTTGAGTTGTGTGTGCTAACAGCGTACCCCTCAGCCCTTGATCACTTTTAAATGAATGAAATACATTAAAACATGGACACCTTGAATAGATGTGAATAATACTTTTTTATTTAATGAGAACTGATTGTTTCGTATGTGTCACAGTATAACTAGAACAGCAAAAGTGTACTTAATGTTCTCAAATCCAAGGAGTGTGAGAGAGGAAGTGAGCCAATGAAGCACTGAACAGATGTTCAGAAGAAGATTCCCTCTGTAGAAGGAGGGAATCAAGGTATGCAGTCTCATTTCATGGGGAGTATCTTGTGAATTCTAGATGAAGGGCTCTCTTCCCTCTCATACAGCAGCATTCTTATGGTTGTGGTTAGGGAAAAGGAAGTAGGGAAATATAGCTTATTAATGAATTATGGGCCTATCTGTGGGATTTACATGGCACTATGGTCCTGTTTAAAGAGGACTCTGTTAATGTGAACTAGGTACCTTTAATTTCATGCCTGCAATGGCCACCCTGGGAAGTTACAGTGCAGCTTGCTAGCATGTGCTGCAGTTCACATCCCCATAGTCTGAACTGCGGGGCCATGTAGACGTAACCTATCTCTTAGCCAACTGTAAAGGGACAGAAGTGGATTAAGAGGGAGGAGCTTTGGCATGGTTATCGAAATACAGCTATAACCCCACTAAAAATTATTGTGTTGTGCTGTGTATGTCCAAAAATTCTCTAGGGTTATTAGCATAGTATCACCTGCAACATCATAGAATCATAGGACTGGGAGGGACCTCGAGAGGTCATCTAGTCCAGTCCCTTGCACTCATGGCAGGACTAAGTATTATCTAGACCAACCTTGACAGGTGTTTGTCTAACCTGCTGTTAAAAACCTCCTATGATGAAGAGTCTACAACCTCCCTAGGCAATTTATTCCAGGGCTTAACCACCCTGACAGGTAAGAAGTTTTTTCTGATGTTCAACCTAAATCTCCCTTGCTGCAATATAAACCCATTGCTTCTTGTCCTATCCTCAGTGGTTAAGAAGAACAGTTTTTCTCCCTCCTCCTTGTAACAACCTTTTATGTACTTGAAAACTATTATCATGTCCCCTCTGTTTTCTCTTTTCCAGACTAAACAAACCCTATTTTTTCAATCTTCCCTCATAGGTCATGTTTTCTTAGACCTTTAATCATTTTTGTTGCTCTTCTCTGGGCTCTCTCCAATTTGTCCACATCTTTCCTGAAATATGGTGTCCAGAACTGGACATAATACTCCAGTTGAGGCCTAATCAGCGTGGAGTAGAACAGAAGAATTACTTCTCATATCTTGCTAAGAACTCTCCTACTAATACATCCCAGAATGGTGGTGTGTGTGGTTTTTTTTGCAACAGTGTTACACTGACGACTCATATTTAGCTTGTGGTCCACTGTAACCCCCTGATCCCTTTCTGCGGTACTCCTTCGCAATCATTTCCCATTTTGTATGTGTGCAACTGATTTTTCCTTCCTAAGTGGAATACTTTGCATTTGTCCTTATTGAATTTCATCCTATTAACTTCAGCCCATTTCTCCAGTTTGTCCAGATCATTTTGAATTTTAATCCTATCTTCCAAAGCACTTTCAACCCCTCCCAGCTTGGTATCATTACCATATCTAATTATGCATTAGTTTGAATGATTGAACATGTAGTTCATTTTCATATAATTTAATATATAAAGTTATGGAAATCAAAATTTTCTGACTGGGTGGTGGTAGTGCATGTGTTTGGTAATATACTGCACGTGCTATATATCTGGGTTTATTGTGAGTATGAACTAATGGAGAGGCAAATGGAATATACAGTTTCGAGGAATGTTTACTCGGATTTTCAAGCAAAACTTTCAACCTGGCATTATCTGTATCTCCTTTTTTGTGAGCTCAATTTTGTTGCGCAATTAAGTGTGCTAGCCACTTAGAAGTCCAAGTACCAGATTGCACCTGCATATAAGTGACTTAAACATTTGAGTGAAAGTGAGGGTCAAATAATTGCAGATGCCACATTGTACCTACAGTTTTGTGCCCACAACTGACTAAATTAAACCTTTTTATGATTCAGAAGGAAAAAAATATTGTATATTTGCTGGTGAGAATAATATGCTTGCATCCTAATTTCTGAACTCTCTGTATTGGTAGGAAATAAGACATGGTTCTCTTGTAGTTACTTTGCTGAATGATTTAAGCATCTCAGAAATGCAATATTGTACTCTCTGAGGTGTCATCTTATGAAATGGGAGTTAGAAATTTAAAAATGGTCGTCTTTGGCCTTTTCCAGATTCTGCCCACCAATTTGTGCAAACCTCAGATCCGCTGAGCACCTTTCACAGGGTCTGAAGGAAGGAGGGGAGAAATGTGCTGCAGAGGTGGTTGAGCCCCAATTCTGCATTGGCAGAAGGAGAGCCACATATGAAGCGTCTATTCTGTCCATCTAGGAGTAATGATCTGGGCCTTCGTATTTTGTGAAATCAATGTCAAGCCTTTGCCAGTGCATGAAGCCGAAAGCTTATTCTGGCATTTTCATAATGGGATGCAAACTCCATAATAAACCAACAATAAACTAGCAAACATATAGTTCTTCTTATCCTTTTGAAAATAAACTGTCTAGTCACCTTTTATTGGACAGTGTGGTGGAGTTCTTATTCCTCATCTTTCCCAATATAAGAGCGAACAAACTGAATGTTAGGAGTTTACTGTGCATCCACAGTGGGGGGATTGTTATAGCTGCACATGAAATGAAAAGGTCACTCCCCTCCCATTATCACCATGCTGAACAACCTGTCGTAATCAGACTCCTTCAATAGGACATAGAAAGGGAAAAGTGTAATCTGTCAGCATTATTCCTTTTAGTTGGATGTTTTATGTTGGTCAACCTGCTGTAAAATTTTAAAAAGGAAGTTGAAGCAAATCATGTTGTGCAGCAGTCTCCTGAGACCCATATTAACCTTATGTAGGACTGGAAAGTCCTTTTTACAAAACGTGTGTGGTTATAGAAGCATAACTGGAACAGCATATTCAATAGCAAATGCGGAGATTGCCCTAAAGATTCTACTACCTAAGTAGGTTTCATATTTCTGAAATGTTCCTATGGGCCCGCCACACTGATAATCTCTAACCTTGTCTCTTGGTGACCACGTTATCCCTCTGATGCCATGCTCAACATGACTTGGGCAATAAAATAGTTCCATTAAAAATATGCCACTATTTAATCCCTGTCCTTTCAAAAATAGGTTTTTTTAGATATAGTTGCAGAAAGCATGTTTGTGATTTAATAATAATTATTGTGAATGGACTTCTTACTGCAGAGTTTTAGTTTGTATCTTTCTGCCACCCTTGTCTTTTCCCCTGCAATTACATAGACTTTTTTTTTCTTTGAAGTACATTTCATATGTTGCTTAAAGAAGAAATATCTAGGAAACTTTTATGTTTTTATGGAGGAGACAATTGTTGCTTTTTAAATGCAGGAATTTTTGAGATTTGTTTCTGATGAACTCCCTCTAGCAATCTAAGCTGATAGAGAAGAGTTCTGACTCTTACAGCTGTTCACCAGGTTTGGACAAAAAGTACAGTCTCCTTTTAAAATCCAAACCCAAACTGTTTGCCCTAGATATAAAAAAAAGTAACATTGAAAAAAATCTCTGTAGGGAGAGGAAAAAATAACTCTATTTGTATCCATTAGCGCTGACCTGTGCACAGCTCCTATTAAATTAACAGGGTTCTGCACATCCACTGGGTTCCATGCTTAGAGCCCTGCGTAGATACAAAATTTGTATCCACATCAGATCCGCAAGCTGCAAAAATGTGGATATCTGCAGATGTGCAGGGCTCTATCCATGCTCACTGATCCAATAGGACTAGGGCCTAGAATTCTGCTTTGGGAAAGTACATGCATAATGATTATTGCTGTCAGTGTGATCAATTCACAAATGGCAATGTAAACTTCCACCTTGGAACTTCTTATTTTAGGATGATAGAGTTTCAATTTCTTTTGTTTGGAAACAGTATTAAACTGTTGCTTTTTGAGTAGATTGTGAGCAACAGCATACATTGTGTCATAATTACCATCCTTCATCCTTCCCAAAGATCCGCAGAAGAGGAGGCTTAGGGACTAATCTTTTTTGGAAATAAATCATGGGATTCTGTTGTTGGCAAATATTCATTGCAGCTTTTTTCCCCATAAGAGATTAATTGAATTTCCAGGTTTTAATCCTCAAAATTCCCCTTTCCCATCAATAAATTAAAAGGGAAAATTTGCTGGTTCTCATTGCTAAAATTGTCCGTGCGTTGATTAGATTTTTTTCCCCATGAAAATCCATTATTAGAAAACATCTTTTGGGGAATGGGGTTTCGTTTTTATCCTGTACATTCACATACATAGAGAAACTTTCTGTTTTATAATTCAGCTAATTATAATAAAATGGCATTTGGGGATATACTTCTAAAGCTTTCTACTCAAAACCCCCCCTTGTGGGCCAAGCCTGGTTGCATGGGATTGGGGCAGATACCAGAATTTGGATGTATATAGTATTATAAAAGGGGAAGGTCATAAAATTTATGGGATTAAATTAAGAGTTTTTCTTTATATTCATTAAGTTCTCCAATAGTGAGATATGTTAACCTGTGAAATAAACTCTCAACAAAATAAGTGGAAGCTACTGGTAAATTTATAGTGAATGGTCCTGTATTGTCACAAAGATAAACTAGATGACTTAATAGGTTTGTCCATCTCCAGGTTTTGAAACATTGGAAGCATGTAGTCTTCATGAGCTATTTCTAATGTGTATTTATTAATCAGCTGCTGGGTATGGGGCATTGTATAAAAACACATAAAGTGAAAATTTTTTTAAAATGGTGTAGGTAGCCATTTTTATAATGTTCTTCGTCCATTGAACTGATAAAGAACCTAATTTCCTTTGCATCTTCCTTTCTCTTTCCTGGTCTCTTTCATGATAAAACACAACCATTTTCAGACCTGGGTGTTTAAAATTAGGCTCCTAGAACTACATTTATGCAGCTAAATCAAGATGGACTGATTTTTTTTCAAAGGTGCTGAGCCCTTGATTTCACTGGGATTTGAGAGTGCTCAGAGCTTCTGAAAATGAATAATTTATCTGTCTAAATGGCTTAAGGAATCTAATTTTAGACACCTGAGTTCAAAAAATTTTGGCTCATAACTTGTCATGATAACAGTTTATATGCAAACAGTTCTTGAAACAATTTGCTTTTAGTAGTTAACTTCCTCAAGAGAGGAAAAATGTACGCTCATTAAGCCTGGAATAAGGAGTCAAGAGATTTAGTCAGGTCTCTGCTCAGATACAGATTTATTATCTTGGTATCTAGGGGCAGAAGTACATGAATTTAGGGTGGAATTTTTTTAAAAGTGCAATTTATGCACATTGAAAAATCTCATCCAGTTACGTTGAAAGACTACCAAACTAAGGATATTTTATTAAAGGGAAAAATAATTGCCCCTCCTAATTTCCGATGCAGCCATTTGTAGGCAGAAATGCAACACTTTTGCTGCATGGGAGGCCAGACATTAGAGTCTTCTGCTCATCCTGCTGAAAGCACACTAACCTCCTTGCACAGGATTGGAGAGATAGAATCGTGCTGGACCAGGTGAACAAGGAGGATATGGTCAATTGGTTCCTGTAGATTAGGAAGCCACTGACTAAAACACATGGGAAGTAGGAACCAGTGTTTATGTCCACTGCTCCAACAGGCCTTTAATCCTCTGCCTTATTCACTTTGAGTGTGCCCATGATCAGTTTATAATAGATATGCCCCTGCCCTGGCTCTCCCCTTCCCCCAGAATTAACTCTTATTTTGTTTCTTATTATGAGAGGACAGTTCAAAAGCAAAAGAAAGTGGACGCTATATGTCAGGCCTTGATTATTTTTGCTTGGTGAGATTAAAAAATATATAAGATGTACACTCAGTATATTATGTAAACTTCCATTATGGTACATACACGTTTAAAAGTAACTTTTTAATATTAACTAACTTTTGTATATTTATTCCGTGATTTGTTTTTGTTAAGATGGCCTTCGTCGAATATTGTGTCAGGTTGGTTTACAGGAGGGACCAGATGGTGAAAATTCTTCTCTTGTTGATAAACTAATGCTGTCTGATTCTAAACTGTGGAAAGGTGAGTTGTCTCCCACTTTTTTAAAGAAAATGACTTTGTATGTGCTAATAGAAAGCACTCTGGTGACCACTTTATTTTGTTGAATCTGTTCATGTTTTAGGCAGTTTTTATTGCCATCCATTATAAATGCAATTGCCTGTTTACAGATATACTGTGTTTTACCTCGTCCCAAATTTGGATTATGCTGAATTGTGAAATTATGGGATGGCCCTTTCAGCACTATATTGAAGGTGGAGTAGAGCTTTCTGTTTAGAACAGACTTCTAGAGCTGTAAAATTTACATGTGTATACATATTGACCTGAAAATTGCTACGCCAGTTGAAGGCCCAGAGTAGAGACAGTAGCACAAATATGCAGTCCTTTGGGGTTCCTGAGACAGAGGCACATTCCTCAAAATGGTCTAATTTTAAAATGTGCTGGTTCTGTATAAAGACAGACAGATGCAGAGCTATTGTTTCAGGCTGTATTCAAACCCACTGAGCCGAGAACACCCTATGGAAATGACTGCAGCAGTTCACACACCTGTAAGTCTCCTGTGCTGCTATTCCAAAGTGCTTTAAAATCCACAGGTTTAATATGATTGGCCTGAAAATTGTTGTCAGTTCAGAGAGTGAACTGCTGGTAGAGTCTGATGCAAATTTTGAGTCCTTTGGTCTAGGGCATCCTGAGATACAGCCCCTCCAAAATGACCTGTTTTTAAAATGACATTTGAAACAAACATTAGAAAACCAGGAAATATGTAGTTTGTCCCTGTGGCAGTGAATGGGAATATAACACAACATTACCAATCCCAAACACATCCCACTTCCTTGATGCCTCCACAACTCCAGATCTACGTGCTATTGATGTGTTTCCAGGTACCCTCACTGTGCGCTGTGCACAACGTTGGTCTGAGGAGTAGTAGGCGGGATTGGCAGACATCTCCCTAGGTGCTAAGTGTATGTTTACACTGCAATTAAAAACCTACGGCTGGCCTGTGCCAGCTGACTCAGGGTAAGGGGCTGTCTGATTGCAAGGTAGACATTGGTGCTTGGGCAGGAGCCCAGGCTCTAGGACAGGCCTGCACAACTCGTAAAGCGGCGAGGGCCGTGTTACTCCAAAGAAAACAGCTGAGGGCTGAAACCCCTGACCCTCCCGAAACCCCCCACAGCGCTGCTGAACCCCCCCCCCAGCGCCGCCCAGCCCCCTCCCAACACCTCCCCTCCAGCGCTGACCACCCCGTGGAAACAAACCCTCCTTCCCTAGCGCCGCCCCACCGAAACAGCGGTATTGAACCTTGATAATATGTTATAGCAGGCCCCTAAGGTAGTATAATTAAGGTAAAAGAAAACTCTTTTTGCTAGAAGTAGAATAAGATCTTCCCCCCACTTTGTAATCAATTGCCCTGTTGAATGAATGAGGGATGGGAGCCAGACCAGATCAGTAGAACAGGTCAGCTACCGAATCACCACTCGCCTCCT